GCTCAGGGCGTTGGTGGCAATACATGTAGCAACTCGTAATCGTTCTATATATACCAGTGGCAGGATTGAAAATGCTGAAACGAACACGCACTCTGCTGAGCTTGCCGCAGGTCCTCTTCAGGCACCTCGCAATGAAGTCGTCCTTCGATGTGGAGAACTGTAAGCTTCGGCGAGACCGGAGTCTCTGCTAGCCGGGCGATAATTGCCAAGCTCTATTAACTCTCTTGTCCCTGGACCTCATAGTAGGACCCATGTATGACCTTCGATATACTTCCCTCGCTTTTACTCGTATCTGCGCCAAAGTCATAGGCTGACTTGTTCTTCTTGCCCTTTTCCTCAAGTTCGGGTACTTCTGCTGCACATCGACAGCGTCCCGTAAGATCGCGATCTTGATCGCAGTATTGCCCAAGTCCCACCCCGCGAGCAAAGCTCATTGAAGGCCGTGCAGGCCCGCGAACCAGAAAAACAGCTCCCGGTATCGAAGGCATGTATCCGAGGGCGGGAACGCATGTCACTTTGCGAGGCGCGGGTATAATACTCATTGTTCCGGGAATCGATCGCGGTGCGATAGCCAACTGCTCAAGCGATCCCGCGCACCACTCGGCCAATTCGGCAGGTCCGTGCAAGACTCACGAGCGTACGAAGGGTACTCTCCTCACGGTGACGGATCCGGCGAGGGCAGAGGATCTTGGTGTCGTATACATAGCCGTCAAACTCGATGAGAACCTGGGAGGATGTTTCAGCTATCTACAGATACTGGTGCATTGCTGAATTGTTCGACGCGTGATGCTTGGGAAGATGGGCACAGATTTGTGGTGGTCTCTGGAGGTTGAAGGAAACAAGGAAGATGGATGCTCGACGCCCGCTTTAACATAATGGACCTAGTATGTAGTTTCAAATGCCTGCTGTCTGATGATACAAAGCACGGTGCATGGTCTATCGTGCTCCATGCAAGAGCAGATCTGATACAATGAACGCAAGTTGATCTGGGTTACTGATACTTCATTAAAAAAAATACACTCGATTCGTCGATAGAAAGAACAGCCGGAAACAAGAGCAATCGTAAGGAGTCGTCAACATGCATGGTCGTAAAGAGTCGTGAGGTTAGACGTGAAACACACTGAACACTAAATATGTCATAAATTCAGCAAGCGAACAGCGCAAGGTGAGAGATGGGCACAAATGAATCGGGAATCTGGAACATCGTATGAGCCATACACAGATGCCTGTCTACCTGGTGGGACCGGAGATCATGCCACCGTTGGGATGAGAAGGGGCAGTCGACCTGCGGCGACTTTGCGGAGGTATAGAGGGAGAGGTCGGCAATCCTGGAGGACTATAACGCGGAGAGGCAAACACCTGCGCTCCTTGAGTCGTGCTCGGAGCGAGAGGCGCGGGAAGGACGATCTGCCCCCTCGTGGGTACGAAACGGTTCGGTGGGGGAGTGTACTGGGGTGCAGCCGAATTTCTCCGCGGCGCGCCGCGCGAGTATGCAAGAGCAGCGCGTTGTAGCCGTGGGGGTGACCGTTCGGGTTGAGGCCGGAAAGAAGGCAGGGGAGGTTCATACCGCATATCGGAGACATGCTGTACGGAGTACCGTCGATGAGAGGCGCGTGTTCGCGGTTCACCGTGTGCCCACATGGCTGGGACAGTAGGCTCGGTCGATCTGGTGCTGGCAGAGTTCGGCTGCACAGCAATTGACATCGGCGGCGTATGAGGGTTTCGGCTATTTGTGCCTACTGGGGACCTCGCATGCCGAGAGCTTGACGGGCCCGCAATGACGGGAGGCTCGTTGACGGTAGGCAGCTGGGGCAGAGCACTGATCTTCATTGCGACGTCAGGGTGAGGCCCGAGCTTGACGAGGTTGTGATGTGACTGAGATGACGACGGCCCAGTAGACAGGACATCAACGGAGGAGGATGGCTCCACGGACGCAGTGAACGCGCGATCCAGGAAACTATCTGCTTGCACAGATTCTGTGCCAGGGGTTGGTAGTGGGGATGACGATGAAGAGGCTGCCAATTGCTGCGTGGTTACCAACAAAGGGTCATCCATATCTAGTCGATACGGCAGTGCTGGCGGTGGAATGCAGCTAGCGTCCGGAGAGCTGAGGGGGCTGGGTATATCCGCAAAAGACGCAGAAAGGAGTGATGGGGGCATCGCGTGAGGGGCCTTGCGCCCCGCGCCGTTCCTCTTCTTACTCTCGCGGTATGTCCGAATCGCAGACGGTGGCGGTGGGTCATCATAATCCTCCTCTCGCAACTCGTGCATGAGTGGCGCGGCGCCCGGGCGGGTGCGTTTGCCCTGGGGACGACTATCAGTGGATATGTGTCGTGATACGTGGGGTAGACTATCGGAGGGATCAGCACGGGAATATTGTTCCTCATTTGCGTCGGGACCGGTTTGGGACAGGCGGATGTAGACGCGACGCCACCAAGACGATTGCCGTAGTTCGTAGCCTGGAACCGCGGCGGCCTCCACATCGACGACGGGGCTGTATTGTGCACTGCTGGCATATTTGTCTACAGATGTATTGTTTATGATATACTGAGGAAGTGGGATGAGTGACCGCGCACCTTGCAGACCATAGCCACGTCTTGCCAGTTCCCTGTCAATTTGTTCCTCCAGCCCCTCGCTCTTCTCCCGACGCGGTTTCGCTTGGTAGCCCAAACCGTAGACGTAGTTATCACCTACGCCCAGCCACTGACGCTCATTGTTCAAGTGTACCTCTTTCTTCACTGCAACCGTGACGCTCGAGTCCTTATCGGAGGCTCTCGTGGGGCAATTCGATGTGACCATGTTGGCCTCGCGATTGATCGCTATCCGAGAGCGACCAAAGACGGTCTCGAGAGCGGCTTCGCGACGGGCCTGGGGATCTGTCTCGAGACCACGGCTTCGACGCGTCATGTATACGATGCCCGTCCAGATCTCGCGACCGGTCTCTTTGAAGCTCATTGCATGGACAAGCGAACGCCAGCCAGGAGTTGGCGCGTCGGGATCGTAGTACGGCTTGTAGGAAAACGCCCTGATGTGCAGTATCGCAAAACAGCTGCCATATAATGATCAGTATTGATTAGATATTCAAGTACTATATACGTACGCCATCTCAAAGGTCTCGAGAATCGCGCCGATGCCGATGTTGATATTATCCGCAGTCATGTATGGTGTCTGTCAGCACGAAGCGTCGTTAACTATCGCCACACGCCCGGTTAGTATGTTATATATCCATACATCTTTGACGACCCCCAACAAAGTGAGCACGGAGAGAAACGTTGCCTGCCAAAACGTGAGGAAGACTGCAGATCATGCTTAGTCTTGAAAACAACAGGGTCAAACGAGAAGGCTCACCGACTGCCTTGATAGCGAAGAGTTTGAGCAACGGCTTCTGGGGCGCGAGTTCCACTTTGACTGCCATATACAGCTGGATCAAGCAGTACATGGCAATCGAAACGGATATCGACACAACTATAGTGATCTGCAATGATCATATTGAGCCGATGTTCTATCTCATCGCTATTTATGACGTAGACGCACATAGATGTGGCCCCAACCAGGACTCCAGGAATCCTCACAGTACAGACCTGCATAATCAAGGATTACTGCAGCAAGTGTTGTCCTGATAAATTATGCGTTATTTTGACAAGTCGGCCACGCATCAATCATCGCTCAGGAGGAAACATACGTTGGCCGTATAACACAATACTGTAGAACGCCCCATTTCATCAGCTGCAAAAAGTGGAGGCCATCCTTCACCGCGCGAGTCTCAGCTATCGATAGGTGCATGTATGAACACAGTACTCACCGCCGGCCGCCACTTGACGAGACCAAGTGGTAGCATCCACTTCTGTGGGGGCTCTCCACGTTTACGCAGCCATCTGTCATGCTCCTTCGACAACCCATTCTTTAGAGAAATACATAAGCTTAAAGCAGCCTTCAAAATGTCGCCATGCCTGATCTTACCTTGCGAAAGATTTCTTTCTGCACGTTTACATCTGGAGAGATATACAGCAGAAGTAGATAGAAGAAGGCCGTCAACACCGTGGATTCGTAACAATCTCGGATGAGAAGTAGAGGCGTTGAGTGATTCTGCGACAGGAACGATCAAATCTCCGTTCGAAACGCGGCTGAGGAAACACAAAACTCAGAACTCACCCACCAAAAGTACGATGCTAAACTGATGATCGCGTACAATGGAACCATGAACAAGATCCGAACGATGTCTGAGTAGCCGATATAAGCAATCTCCGCAACGGCTTCACAGACGTGGAAAAACATACATCGTTGTTCGTATTTCTTTTACGCCAGCAACAGTCAGAGAAGGTGGACAGAGGAAACGTGGAAATCACTTACATTGTGATACGAGCGCGTGTGTTTGTAGATGAGCCAAAATGATACAACGATAGCCACACCAGTGAAGGCCGACGAGACCATCCAACCGATCTATGGTGAGCCGTTGAGAGACTCTTCAACCAACTGTATTGTGGGCACGTACGTGATGTGCTAGATAGACATGCATTAGCCTCAGCATCAGCACCCTTGACGATGACCGCTGCATGGGCATACCTTGGAGCACCAGCTTGCCGTTTTGAATTAACGGGGGGCTGTTTTGCGGCGCACGTTCCGCATGGCATCGACCGTTGACAATTTCCGCCATAGTCAAACAGAGGTAGAAGATGCTTGCAATGTTTCAGGTCTCAGATTGTACAAGAGATGTTCAAGTGTGCATGAATAAACAACAGTATGAGAAGCAAGTCGTGAGGGTCGTGAGGATCGTAGATTGAGAGCAGTAGCTACGGCCTGTCGCCGAGCAAGAAGGACGAGAGGCACTAACAAGAAGCTTTCACGAGGATGTGTACATAGAACTCGTCAAACCAGAGGGCGGTGTAGCCCAGAGGGAGAAGGACTTCGTGGTGCGGACGAGAGCCTGAGGTCAGGGCTTCTGAGCAATGGCAATCCGGCGACATTGCAATTGTACCAATATATTTTGAAAGATCTGTAAGTCTCTGTTAGTATATCGGTTAGTACACGCGCTTGTCATTTGTACCGATCGCGCGAAAGCGGGGTTCGACTCCCCGACAGAGAGTTTTATGCTGGGATTTGCTATACATCGCTTGTTACATTTTCCATTCGTTCTACGATACATACCAGAAGTAGGTCGACGTAGGCGAGATGACACTTTGATACAACTGTAACATACACGCGTCGTTCGATTGACATCGTCTGTTCCGAGATATATCATGCCTTGCTACCCGCCGATTCAGCAGTTTGCAAAGCCCACGATTGTATATCATCAAGAGGAAGCTGGTTCCATCGAGCTAGAGCCTATTGAAATAATCATGAGAGGACATCATAGTCGCTCGCAAGACTAGGAATGTCACCTTGTCTAATGTATCGAGTAGTTTCGTGGCATCCGCATCGGCGTCGTCCTTCGCGCGTACGTTGAGCTGCATTTGATGATGCAGCTTATTGTTCTCCTCGGTGAGCTATGATGCAAACTTTAGCATGCGCACAGGTGTCGAGTATGGACGTTGTCGCTGACCTGAGCCAATTCTGCTCTGAGTCGGTCCCGTTCCTTTTCTAGCATAGGGACCGTTCTTGCCCTGACGGCGGCCCGAGGTGGGAGGTCTTCTCTCCAAATATCGCTACCGTCGTAGCCTGTCTGTCTCCTCGTGCGGGCGGTGGACACCACCGCGTGTAGATTGTCAAGGTTTTCCTTGACATTGTACTTCTTGAACAACTCCTCGCAGTTTTCCTGCTGATTTGTCTGAGTACAACACGTGTGTATGGCGCCACAGGCTTATAATCCATACCGTGATCGACGTCTCCAGCCGACTGGATATAAGATTGAATATAGTGGCCGCGTTTTCTGGTTGCTCATCGCACCAGAGTGAGAAACACTCTGCAAAGTCTTCATAACTGACAGTGAGAGTGTGATCAGAAGTAGTATGCGCCCAACCGTCTATAACGACTCACGTCCACTTGTGCGCGGAGCGTTGTACGGCAAGTTGAAGCGCAGAGTGGAAGTATGTCCACCTCTTGCTGCCTGCCTGTGTCGACGCGTTCGACGCCATGTTGGAGACGCGTTGCGGAGTTTGAATACGAACATGGACGTTGTGGCGAGTAGTAGGCGTCTATTTGGCAATGAGCGCCTATCGCACCAGGCAGGACCCCCGACAATCTGAGGGTATCCCTGATAGCCATCCGGACAAACGTGATATGATTGAGATTGCTTGGAGCGGTCGGGAGACTATATAACGCCGGGCGTTGACATGATAGCTGCACTGTCCGGCTCCTTTCTTCTGGCATGGCTCCTTCACCTGCGAATTCGCAGAGGCGCTACGACCAAAATGCCACTCCTTCAAACACCGTTTTGTTAGCGCCTCGGAATCATCTTAAAGGCCTAATTTAAGCACTCGCGCAGAGTCCGCGCTCTTTTTCCGCCTCCGCGAGGTCTGGGTCTCTTGTCAGTGCCCACAAGACCGTGTTTTCTCGACAAAATTGACTGGAAGAACGTTGAACCAGGATTGTTACAATTGACAGGTTACTGGTAGCACTCTGACTCATGTAGGCTCCGGAGGCGTGGTGACTCATTCTGACTCGCTCTGACTCGTCCCTGACTAGTAGTGACTCATATGGACTCATAGTGACTCAGACCCATGGTGAGTCATACTGGATATGACTCCACCCCACATGTATATAAGACCAGGGGGCTCAGGGTAGAGCCCCAGCTTCAATCTCCTGTTTCACCCCCTGAACTCCTCGTCTGAACCTCTCCCCTTTGCCCAACCTGGCTTCCAGTTCTAACGGTGTGCTCGATAGCCACTAGCAGAGAACTGAAGCATAACACTAGATTGAAGCTCAAGATTCCTCACCTAGCAGCGGTGCAAGGAACACCTCTCTGCATCGAGTAACCAGAAGGCTTCCTGCCTTGCTCAACAGAATCAGGAACCCAGTCCAGAATCATTTCCCTATCTTTGAAGACAGTTCTTCCGAAGGAGAACTGCCTGAATCACCTACCCGACCTTCGCGGATTCCTGGACACCGTACCCCTGAAGAAGAACACGAGTTTTGGAACCCACTTCAGGTTCAGAACAGCTCTGACGAACACGCCGACAACGAACGATCAGTATCAGGCAGAGGTTCGAACGAAACCATACCTGACCCCCCTACTCCGGAACAAGTCCACCCAGTAGAACGATTCTACCTCCAGCTCCTCCAAGGACATAACTTTGCATGCGCACTGCACGAAGCTAGTCGGTACACCGAGGCAATTCCACCACTTGCTCTTCGGCACTTGAACGACACCACCTGGCACCTGGCACAGGCCCTCCGTGTACTTCGGAACGACCCTCCTTACCCTCCGGTGGACGACCCGAACCGTCCTCTTACCTTTGAAGAGTGGTTGGAACACACCTCTGAAGGCCTTCGACAGCTCATATCAGTCACCAACCTCGGATCTCCAGACATTCACATCATTGCCTTAAGATTCCACAACCTCATTGCCGCATGACACCTGGTCAACGAGTGGACTACGTACATTCCCCCTCACTACCACGCCCACGGCAATTAGGAGCAGTGCATGGGAGACAATCTCGACTGTTACAACCGGCCCCACTACTACAATGCAACCACTCGAAAGGACAACCACATCAACTACTCAGAAGTATTTGCGATCTGCAAGTACCAACCTTGCCCAAATCGACTCAAGACCAGAGCTAAGAAAGCCGAAGGCAACTGTTTTGTTCTGACTCCCAAAGACCCCGTCACTACCGGCTCAGGGGAAACCTTTGTCAAAACAAGGTCACCCGTTACACCTCTAGGACTTGGGCTTCAAATCCCATTAGCCAGCAAAGGAAAGGAGCGGGCTCGAACGCCACCTCCTAAGGTCCCAGAACCAGAATTATCAGACGACGAAACAGTACCGGTGATATGCTAGGACAGGCTCTGACGGCCGGTAGCCGCGGGGTAACGGGCGTCCTAGTAGTGATACGGGGGGGAGTCCGGTCTCGAGCTCCCTGTCGGACGAGCTCGCTCCTAGGTGTTGCGGTCGGATCGCGCGTGCTCAGAGAGTGGGGGGAACAGTTGCAGGGTGTGACGCAGTATCGCGCGACGCCGGGGGAGTCAGGTCGCTGCCTCGCGCCGAGAGTCGCAAGGTGTAGCGCAACGCAGTCGCAGTCTCGGGATAACGCAGTCGCAGCTCGCTCGCTCTAACGCAGTGGAATCGCAGGGATAACGCAGTCGTAACGCAGTCGGTCGGGACACTCACGCGTAGTCGTGCGTCAAACACAGTGGCTGGCGGACCTGGTATAGAACCTTTGGAGCTCTCGCGAACTTGGTAGTCAGTCGCGACACCCTGGAACCGTTCGTGGGCTTCCGGGGCGAATTGAGAGTGAAAGGGGGAGGTGTCTTGGGGGTTCGTCGCCCCAGAATGAGGATATGTACAGGAATGGGCTTCTCGCCCGTAACTACAAAAGTCCGATGTCTAAGTCCGACGGAAACTGACCAGAGAGCCCGCGATTGGCTGCACACCGTGCGCGCGCGTGTCGCAAGACCCGCGCGCCTCCAAGAGTCGCTGCCGCGTCACCGCCGCGAGATCGCGATCGATGCACCGCGCGGTGCTCGTCTTGGCTACACCGCCGCTAGGGCGCAGGGTTCGCGACTGAGAGCTGGGGGTCTACGGGTTTGTCGGAGGGCGCACAGAACTTCGGGACCCCGTCGGGGTCCGACGCGCGTAGGGTGACTGGGTATGGTGTCCGCTGCTTGTCGCCCGCTGAGAGTGGGTCGCGCGACGCATAGATTGCTTGCACCAGGTTCGTACGGCCAGCGCTGGGTCTTGGAGTATGCGCGGAGAGACCTGAAGTGTGCGCGGAGACGGCGCTCCGGTCGTGGACGTCATGCGTGCGTATCACCGGCTACTGTACCAACTGGTAACCGTGAATCCTCCCCTATCTCCACAATCATCCCAGCTCGACAACTACCAAGAGACCCAGAACCAGGACAGCGAGCCATGTCCACAACCACTACACGACCGACTACCGCCCTATCTGTCTCTCAAGGACCCTTCATCAGTACAGCCACAGCCTTCCACACAGCAGTGGGAGGATACAAACCCTCAGGAAGAGGAGGAGGAGGTCCTGAAGGGGGAGGAGACGACGGAGGAAGCGATGGAGGAGGCGACGGTGGAGGCGACGGTGGAGGGGGTGGCGGAGGCCCCCCAGGAGGCACCAATGCACCTAGGCAGGATGATGGACGAGGATACAAGAGCAAGATCAAGGAACCCGACAGCTTCACGGGGGAACGACACAAAGCAAATGAGTTCCTTGCCGACCTCTATCTCCTGTTCTGCAGCCGCCCAAGCGACTACCCCACTGACTCTTCTAAGATAGTCACTGCCCTTTCCTACATCCGGGGAGATGCCCGATGGTGGGCAGAAGCCAAGGTCGACACAGCCCAACTCACAGTCGAGGGTGTCGAACAAGGCTTTGGGACATGGAAGGACTTCAGGCGCGACTTCCTGCTCGTCTTTGGGGAACAAGATCCTGCTCAGACCGCAGCCGTCCAACTCGGCTCACTTCGTTATGATCCAAAGGAACCCATGGACCACTTCAATGCCAAGATTCTACGCCTGTTCGTCAAAGGCGGAATCTACGAAGACTCGGCCCAGGTGGCCTGGTATCGGTCCAAATTACCAGGGTTCCTCCGTGACAAGATGGCACTGGTATACCCCCAGCCGACGACCATGGACCAGTGGATGGAAACTGCCATCCAGCTCAACAAGGCATACTTGCTCAACCGAGAAGTCGATCGTGCCCAAGGACGTGTCATGCACAGCACTATTCGTTTCAAACCCGCCGACCCCTTCCTGAAGGCAGTCACAAGTGGCCGACTCGATGACAAGACCAGACGCGAACTAATGAAGCAGAACAAGTGTTTCTTCTGCCGCGAACCCGGTCATCGCGCAGCCAACTACCCCCAGAAGAAACAATCGGATGCGAAGATTCGAGCAGTCGAACAAGAAGACAAAGAATCAGCAAATGAAGCCGATGAAGAACCAGAGCTGGCACTCAATGCCGTGGAAGAGGA